CGCCACCCTCCCAGGCAGGAATTCCTTGCCAAGATCCCAGCCCAAGCTCCCCTTTCCCAGTGGGATCCATTCCCTGGGTCCTGTCCCTGCAGCCCTTGGCCCCAGTCCCTCTCCAGCTCTCCTGGAGCSMCAAAAGHRGCCCCAAAAGGGGCTCTGAGCTCTCCCTGTGTCCTTCCCTTCTCCAGGGGAACATTCCCAGCTCTCCCAGCCCTGGAAGATCCCACACCCCACTCCTGCCCTTTTCCAGGKGTTTGGAATGGCAGCACCACCAGAATTTGGGGCTTTGACCCTTCCAAGGCGCTCACGGTGCTGCCTCTCCTTTCTCACAGAGATTCTCCCAGCCCTGAGGCTCCTTGGATTTTTCCTCAGCCCTGGATCAGCCCTGACAGCGCCAGGAATTGTCTCCAGCAGGGAGAATTCCCAATGGGATCCCGGGAAGTGCCAATAACCTGGAGGCTCCCGGTGAACGGAGCCCCCGACCTTTGGCTCCTTCTCCCCCTCCCAAAGGCTGGGATTGACATGGGAAAGCAAAGCCAAGCTGAGAATGATCCAGGGAGGAAAGGGGAGAGGTGGGAATGCCAAAATTGTGGGGTGGGAATGGCTCAGGTGGGATTTGGGGAGGGAATCCCAGCTGGGGCTGCTCTTGGATCCCGGAGTGCCCCAGGCCAGGCTGGACATTGGGGTTTGGAGCACCCTGGGACAGTGGGAGACATCCCAAGTCTTTTTATCCTAAGTTTTCCCAGGATAAAAAGGGGTTTTTTTTCTTTTTGGGGTTTTGTTTGCCAAAAAAATCCCAAACCCAGCCCCAACCCGAGCCTTGGTGGATCAGAACCGACATCTCATCCTTCACTCGGTGCTTCCCAAAGACATTCCCTGATTTCCAACAGGAAATCCCACTGGAACGAGCCGGGGGGACACTTTTAATGACAACCTGACAACCTCAGCTTGTAAAAAGATAAAAGTGCTGAGGAGATAAAAGCATTTTCCCTGCTCCTAATCCAATTAACAAAAATTCCAAACCCTACAAACACCCCCGAGCTCCAAACTTCCCTCCAACACCCACAAAGCAAAGAAACCTCCATAAAAATCATCCAACGAACGCAGGGAGCTGCCTGAACAAAATAATTAGGGGAAAAAAAAWTTAAAATTGGGCAGGAAAGGGCCGGGAGGGAGGGAGCTGTCTGGGATGATGACAGCTCCTGTCCCCGACCCCGCGGGGGCTGCGGTGACCCCCGGCCCCGGGAGTGATGGGCAGGATGGGGAGGGGAGGGAGGGGAAGGGAGGGGAAGGGAGGGCACTGCTGGTTTTGCAGCCCAGCTCCCCAATAAAACCTAATTGGAGCTGTCAGGGTGAAATGAAGAAAGTGTCAGCGGGGCTTTGCGGGGAAATATTCCGAATGTTTGGCTGCCACAGCCCGAGCGGGGCTCCCCTCCCTCCCTCCTCCCCCCAGCGTGCCAAAAGGGCTGGAAAATGCGGTGTGGAGAGGAATTTTAATTGGGGGGAGCCCCGGGAGGGACCTGCGGGGACAGAGCTGTTCCCTGACCCACCGAGGTCCTGATGGGATGGAGGGCACGGAGCTGAGAGGGGAGGGAGCACAGGAGAGAGGGGGGGCTCGGGGATGGGATGGGGACCCTGGGGACGGGATGGGGCTCCTGGGGATGGGATGGGGATCCTGGAGATGGGATGGGGATCCTGGGGACCGGATGGGGATCCTGGGGATGGGATGGGATGGGGCTCC